ATTCTACAACACAGGCTGTATACATATATCTTTAGAAGTTCGATTATTCTATATCTCCAAAAGAAGAAGTCTTGCTTCTAGTCAGTCTGCCGGTTGCTTAACGAATATTTTTATTGCTCTTTTATCTTCTCGGCTCTTCTCTCCACTAATGCACCTGGAAACTTCTTCATTTTTCTCTGTTTTGAGTCTCTCTTGTCCACATAATTCCATATAGCCGTTTAAGCCAGTGCTCTCATTGCACTGTTGTCCTTTTCTGCGTTTTTTAATATTGTGTGGGTGTCATTCATTAATTTACTTTGTCGAATTTCAAGAATAAACAGCGCGTTTTTAAGACCAATGTGAAATTAAATTGTGCGATAGAAATATATACGGGCAATGGCACACGGACACTGAAATCTGATTGAAACACCGAAACATCTGCAATTAATTCTACTTTTTAAGCGTTTTTGCATATATGCAAATTGCAACCCAGGCTGGAACGCACCAGGCTTGCTAGTGCGATCATAAGTTTTTGCACTAAACTCGCGGGTCGCTAATAGCAGTAACAATCCCTGCGCTCCAGCCAAGCACTTAGGCTCATACTGACTATGCTCTGGTTTCTTCTGGCACGCAGCAGAATGGGGCATCGGTTGGGGATGAGCGCGTTGCGATACAGAGCTACTTGGACTTACAGCACATGTTTACCAGTTTTTATGCGTTTTTGCCTATACGCAAGTTGCAACTTAGGCTGAAACGCACCAGGCGGGCCAGTGCGACTATGCGTTTTTGCACTTTTCGTGCCGTAGCAAGGTCGTAAGGAATCAAAGTAGCTAACTCTGTGACATACTGGCCCTTAAAGTTCGGGAAGTTAATCGTACAGCTATGTGGTATGTCAGTTGTTGATGTCGACTTCAGTGACCCGACAAGTGGAAAGTTGCTGGCCCGCAAAAAAAGGCCACGTTAAAAGAGTTAGGCTTAAAATTTTTTAGTCGCACACGAGCAGGAAACATTCCATTAAAATTAAAGCCTTCAGCTTTTCCCGTTCCTGAATTAGCAGCTTTCCCATCAAAGCTTTCACGTGTCCGTACGTGAGTGCTGGGCGGTTTTAAGGAGCTGAATCTAAAATCTTTTGGTCATACATGAGTATGGAACATTACCCTTAAGTTCCAGCTTTCTAGCTTTCCCCGTTCCCGGGTTAGTAATTTTGGTGGATTCAATTCCTAAGCAGCTTGTTCTCGAGAGTTTGACTCATAGCTCATACAGTCGTAGTGTCACGCTATCATAGAGTCAGATTCGTACGCAGCAACAGACTAGGAACTGGAAGGGCAGTTGCAAGCCGGAGCAGATAGTTTCTACATGCAGTGCTTCATCATACGAGCAGTTTTATAGCAGCACCTTTCCAGACGCACTATTCTTTATTTACTGGCAACAAAAAACAACATTCGTCTGCGAATAATTGATCTTCTAATGAGTTACAACTGTAAACAACGTGCGGCGCCAATTCATTCAGTGCCAGCTCCACTGCCAGTTGCCCCATGGATAATGGTCTGCGTAGTGATGGCCATCGAATGCTCCGTGATGCAGTCCAAAATGTTCATGATGGTGGTGATCATGATGGCCATAATGATGCGAGTGCCACGAATCATGCCAACCGTCGTCCCACCAACCGGATGCACTAGCTGCTGCCAGTACTGCTGATAGGATTACCAGCAACATGTTTGATAACATTGTTGTAGCCTAAATTCAATATGCAACACTGTGGGAACGCTTCCGTTTGCATTTTTCCTGATGACTCAGGAATTAAAAGCCTAGTCAACACACTATTCTCATAAAGAATGTTGACTCATAACTGACAAACAGTTAATTTCGGTACCATGGATTTACTTCCTCTTCTCTCCTTTACTCTCTCTGTCCTCTCACTTTGTTTTTTTTTTCTCTTCCGCATATCGATCTTGCAAATTAGTCACATGACCATTCAGTAAATGGCAAGTAAGAGGACGTACTGATGGTTTCCACTCCTGCTCGCACACAAAGTTTGGTCGGTGTTTACAAGTAAGGGATGGAACACAGACTGCATCGTAACATCGTAACATGTCTTCTTACAAATAACACTTAGTTCAACTCTTTCTAGTCTAACACTTCACATTTTCGCCCTCCCAAACTGCCGCTGGCGGTAAACAAGGCTCCGCTGGATACTGCCGCATGTAACCGCAGCTTTTATTCGTTTGTGAAGCACTTCCAAAACAGACTACAATGCGAAGAGGAAAGTTGCGGATAATTCAGTTTTAGAACTACCAGGCTAACTGCTGAAGTTCTGGAAAAAAACCCGTTTTCGACTACGTTCGTTAAATTTCAAACCTACTGCGCTCAAAATTATGGTGAATCCATTGAGAACAGAGGAGACATTTCGCAAGCTTCAACCCGGAGCGAAGAGCATGAATTTAACATCCGGATCCTTGCGTACTTCGACTTGCAGCATAAGATCCAAATATTAGTCCAAAGTGAGACTAGATTCATAACTTTGATGATTTGGCTTTCAGCTGTGCAATTCAAGAAGCCATGCTTATTTGTTTCTTCTGTCCCGAATTGGAAACTTACGTTATAATCTGGAGTTTAAGTTGTATTGGTAGCACATGGATTGGAGGCAGGCTCACAAAATTTCAATTTTCGAGCTTCTGTCGCTGCAGAGCTGAAAGTGGATGAGGGAAACACACATAAAACCAAAACATGTAGGTAAAATGTGTGAAATGAACCTGCTGTTGTGCGAAGTGAAAAATTGCTGGGTGAACTGAGTCATGATTTCTGACATACTGCCCCAGCTTTTATACAGCGAGCTAAAACAAGCTCTTAAGCCAACAAGGCATTTCGTTTCCTCGTTTCGTTCTTTTTTCAGCAATGAAAACTGCCTGATCGTCGGCCCGCTTGTTTCGCTTCTAAAGCCTCCTGCATGGAGCTTGTTCCTGACATTTCATTTGCAGGCTTATGACGGTTTTTTCCCCTTCGAATAAATAGGTTAATGACTATATGAAATTTGGGATGATGGAAGTCCACTGTAGCTGCTATATATAAGTGTCACGCAATTCACCACATACAGTAGCGAAACACTGCAATTTCTCCAGCGAACGATATGATAAGTTTCACTTCCGTCCAGTTTTTTATTAAAGAATTTTATCAACTGGCAGAATTAAAAAAGACCGCTTTGTTTCTGGAAATCAGTAGTGACACGCACCAAGGCTGCCGGTGCAATCATATGTTTCTGCACTGCTTGATGGTACAGTCAGTTCATTAATTAGTATGAATGAGCAGGAGAGACTATTAAAGGAATTACTAGCTTGTTAAGTTGCGCAGCTTGCTAGAAGCTAAATCATCAATATTAGGAGTTTGTGCCAAGACACATTTTGGACTAATGTTTGGAACTGAGGCCATCACTTCAAAGTGCGTTAGAATCTAAATGTTAAATTCATGTTCTTCATTCCACATTGTTGCTCTCGAAACGCTCCTCTGTTCCCGATGAGTTCAGTATGAATTTGGGCTCAGTTATTTTGAATTTATTAACTTCTGCTCTGTAGTCTTACGATTGGACTCATACTGGCTGTGTTTTGTCATCTTCTCATTCATGCAGGGGAAAGGGCCGGTTGAGATTCTACGTTTTCTAGTTCCCGGGTTGACAATTTTCCAGCTAAAAATTTTCACAGGCCCGTAATTGAGAATCATGCACACCTGGTGGCTGAATTTGAAATGTATAAGTTCTGCGTGAACGGGGAGCATTCCCTTAAAATTTCAGCTCTCCGCCTTCGCTGTTTCCCAAGTTAGAAATTTTCTCGCTAAGACTTTTACAACATTTGTACACGAGGCTCAGGCGTGCGTCAGTGTTGATTCTAAGGTCCTGGGGTGGGAGTTGGTCAGGGAACCCACTAGCAGTCTGCGAAATACACGTGATTTTGAGTCTCCAATGAAACTGAGTATTTGTCACATCTCCGTGCAGGAAATTTATCATCAGCTGAATTATGGTCAAACTTGAGTGTGTTATATCCTTGCAAAGTTTCAGTTTCGCAGCTTGCCCGGTAAACGAAATGGCCACTTCGCTAGAAATATCTTTTAGGTGCTCTATGTCGTAGCGCAAGCGCAAGTCGAAATTCAATTTAGGGATATGATTTTCCATATGAACAGTAAATAATGTGGCAAAATTTCAGCCACTCTTTTCGGGCTAATTTTCGAATTGGAACAGTGCCAACTATGAAATTTTTAGCGCACACATAAACAGAGTATATTCTTGCATAGTTTCAGCTTTCTATCCTGTCTTGATCACGAAATCATTTCCCGCTAAAGAAGACTGCACGTTTTTTTTCGGGGATCCGTATGCGGAATCTAGGCGCGCATAAACGAAAATTTTGAGAAGGGTAGCACATGGTGTAGGAATTTACCCCAATATTTCAGCCTCCCAGATTTCCTGGTTGCTGAATTGAAACTGGGTTGCAAAGTTTACTCGCTTCTGAAAACACAGAGTTGGTGGACCTATCGACAATATGTGTTTTTATGCTATTTTTGCATCTGTGCCATTCAAAAACCCATATTGTCGAGTGGTTGTTTCTGCGTGCATCTGTCCCTATTTTCATCTTAAAACCTACAAAAGCTACAAGGCTGAGACTTTGAGACGTTTAATCTGCATGCGCTTTTGGGCTCCTCTCTCCAAAAACGACGCTCCTACTCATGTTGTTCCCACATACGAGCCCGTCAGTGCTTTTGACGATTAAGCTGCTAATCCAATAACCAGAAAAGCTAGAAGGTTGAAAATTTGAGGGTATGCTCCCTGTCACGTAGGTCTTAATGAATTCGAACCCAGCTTCCAGGTATGCGTGGTTCCCACGCATACCTAGGGGCCGTGAAATTTTTTTATGGGTAAATGGCTAACTCGGAAACCTGAAAAGTCAGAAGGTTGTGATTTTAAGGGGATTATTTCCCTCCAATCAGGTCTTAATGAGACCAAACCTTTCCAGGCTTTCGTGGTTCTCAAGCAAGGGCCCGTGAAATTTTTTTGTGGGTAAGTTGCTAACTCGAGAATCAGGAAAGCTAGGAAGCTAAAATTTTAAGACTGCGTTTCCTGACAGTCCTGGCGGCCATCTCACTTAGCTAGAACCATCAGCCAAAATAACCGGTGCCGTTAGCGACAAAAACCTGCGGGGGACTACGCAAAAGACGCCTTCGCACTGGCAGTCGATGCGCTGGCCAATTATTACTAACTGTAGCAACCCTATAGCGCTGCACAGCAAAAACGCGCAAGAACAGATCTTCACGCATTTTTGCATGTATACAAATGCAAGAGTATACGCAAATGCGTGCATCTGTGTGTGTATTTTTATGTGTATGCGCGTGTGTGTGCGCTTCAGTTCGAGTTTTCAATTCGTCAACAAAGCAAGCTTACGGGTTAAAATTTTGCCACTGTGTTTCGCGGCCAATTACCACCCCAGGACCAAGGTACTAATCTTCATGCATGCCTAGGCCTAGCATATGAGCGCGTAAAACTTTTGGCGAAAAAATTGCAAACTGGGGAACTAGAAAAAAGAAACCTGAATTTTTTGGGGGGATGTTCCCCGTTCACGTCGAAATAAAAATTTCAAATTCAGCTCCCAGTTGTGCGTGGCTCTCACGTACAGAGTCGTGAAAATTTCTGGCAGGAAAATTGCTAATTTAAAAGAAAAATGTATGAATGCTGTTAGAAAATATAAGAAAGGATGATAGGAAAGATAAAGAAGGGAAGGATGTGAAAAAGAAGTATTATATTAGGTAAGAAATGTTTCGGTCCATTAAGTCGTATACATTTCTTACCTTTACCACAATTCTTGAACAGTTCTTGAACAGAAGCTGAAATTTTGACAGAATAATCAAGTACCATTACTCAATTAACTTCCTGAATTTCGAGGATCAGTACGCCAAAAATTGTAGCTATTTGGGTTCAATGCCATCTTACAACAGCACGAAATATCGCAAAAATGAATCGCACAGGCCTTCCTGGTATATGTTGCCAGTGACTTTTTTTATCAGAAATTCAGCTGCTTGCTTACATATTTCCAAAACTGAATTATCCATGTCCAACCGCAGCGTTTCTTCTCGCACTTCAGTATGTTTTGGAAGTGCTGCATAAACGAATAAGAGCCGCGTATGTGTGCAGCAACATTCACTGCCAGCTTGTGAGAGCGAAAATGCGAAAATAGAAGCGTTCCTACAGTGATGCATTTTGAATTTAGGCTGCAACGATGGTGTCAAACGTATTGCTGATAATCCTGTCAGCAATAGTGGCAGCAGCCGGTGCATCCGGTTGGTGGGACGACGGCTGGCATGGTTCGTGGCATCCGCATCATTTTGGCCATCATGATCATCACCATCATGGACACTTTGGACCACACCACGGAGTATTCGACGGCCATCACCACGCACACCATTATCCGTGGGACAGCTGGCAATGGGGCTGGCATTGAATAAATTGGCGCCGCAAAGCTTTTCATAGTTGTGATTAGTTAGAAGATCAGTCGCAGACGAATGCTGTTTTTTGCTGCTACTGAATAAAGATAAATGCACCTGGAAGGTTGCTTCTGTGCAATTGACTGCACGATGAAGCAACGCATGCAAGAATGATGAGGATGCCATAAGTCCATGATAGTATCTACGGTGGTGATGATCAGTTAGTCTGTGTTGCAGCCCGTTGTGTCTATGATAGTGATTGGATAATCCAAGATGTTCATCATGATATAGGTAAGCAACGCGATGTCATAGCCACACGCGCTGACATGTTAAAACTGAGGTTTCGCCATCGCAGGCAAAATGTTAGTTCTGAAACTAATTTGATCAGAGCGCTTTAACTCTGTGAGAATATTTGGTTTCATACGTTGTCGCACAGAGCAGAAATGACCATTGGCCTGTATCGTGTGTTCGGGTACGTCAGATATGTAACAAAATGCCAGTTAAACATTCTAGGAAGCTGAAACTTTACGAAAGTATTCTACACGAAAAATATTCTACACAAATATTTCAAATTCAGTTTTAAAGTGCACCTAGGTCTCGTATGCCCACTTGTGAATATTTGTCTCGGGACGTTGCTGCGACGCATTTAACTGGTTAGCCAGCTTGAGCAAGAAGCAGTATTTTTCAGAGGGTGTGTTCTATTCATGGGCTGGTCACCAAGCATAAGACGAGGTTTGGCGTTGGCATGGACCCTGTGTACGGACGCACCAAACCTTCAGATGCAAAATCGCAGCTACGCCCTACAAAACTATCTAGATTTAATTTCTTGCGTGTTACGTTGCAGCATACAGTATCTTCCCTCAAAAGCTAATACGAAATGCATTCTTTTTCGTGCGTCCTTACCACACTTCTGTTTATGATACCGGCATGTGCACGTTTTATTAGCTTCAGTAGCAATAGTTGAATTGCACCGAAAGAGCAGCTTCTGTCAGCTTATGCGACGATTAGCTGCATCCTGAACTCTCTTGTGATTGTGGTCACGATTTTCGTGTTGCAGGATGATATCCAGAATGCTGCGCATTTGTCAATCCCACGGTGCCTTAGACTACCGCTAAAGAAAAATACGCCATGCGCATATTATGTGTTTTCAAGCATTAAGACAAGCACTGCCTAATTTCCTGCACGATTCAATAGCTACATGGTTTCCGGCACCAAGAGCATTATAGACTCCAGCTTGTGAAGCCCCTTCTCAAAAATTGGTATAGACCGGTAGGGAGACTGAACCGCTGCCTAAGAGGATTTAGGCGTTAGCAGTGACTGCTGGCAACGAATGAAGCGATAGGCGGGTTTGAGGCCTCAGTGATAGCCAAAGACGAAGTAATCTTCGGCAGCGACTTGACTTGGGGTCAAATGACCAGAGCTTATAGCTTCACTGCGGTTACCGGCATGCGATACGCCTACCTGCAGGCACACGGAGGCTGTCCGAAACTAGTAGTGACACTGCATCGAGCTAGACTTTTAAAAGGCAAATTTCGCGGTGTTTTAACTGAAAAAAAATGTCGGTTTCGGAAGAGCAACACCGACCGACTGTACATTTTCAGGGAAAACGGTGACTGTGGGTTGGAGTCTTCGGAGGATTGCCTTCGCTAGTGTATCATAACTATTTAGGCTTACATAACAATATCAGCATCAATGAGACCACATCACTTTCTATTCCGATAATTGGTCGTTCGACGGAATGCTACCGGTCTCGAGGTTCAGCGAAGGCTCAAAATAAGCCGATACACTCCACGCTTACAGCACATAAACTACGTCCAACTTATCTGGCTGGATTAACCTTGTATAGGATTTTGTATCAAATCCTGATAATACATCTGGACGCATTAGCATGCTTCACATAATTTTAAGCCCATATATGTGCTATATGATCATTTGCATACGCACGCCTCTTCTGCTGGCTTTCCGTAGGATTTCAGCGAGACCCTGGGTTATCAGTATTGGTGACATTATTGTAACGCTCCGGTATGCATAATGCAGCAGTCTCAGTTTATTCGATTCTGGGCTTCAATCCTTATTCTGTACAACGGCGCGTAAAGTGAAAAATTACAAGTACTAGTATAAGGATGAGATTTAAATTGTGATAATCAATGCGTTTATTAGTGCTGACTGTGACTGAGTGTAATGGGACGAAAAATGTTTCGTTTGTCTCTTAATGATCATATAAACAACTAGACTGTTTGTTAGATGAGGTGCGTGCAGAATGTCATCTCCGCAACGTAAGAAAATAAAATCTAATGGGTAGTACATGTTGCTCACCCCTGAATCATTATCCACTACCTGTTCATTGCTGACAATAGGACTACTCAGATGGTTCTCGAAGGGACAGCACAATTGCAGAATAAGACTATTAACCTTGTATTAGTGTAATATGATTTGATCGAAATAATTGACTGCGCCATGGAAAATCTGTCGCACACTGAGTTTGTTGTCTTTCTTCTGGCAATTAGTAGAGCATTCAAAAAGAAGATGATGGGTCTTTTTCACCATCGTGAACAAAATTTCATTAGCCCAGCATTTTGCTTCACGCACGTTCTGCCATATTCTTTTGAACCGACGCTCAATAAATATTGCAGTAGTACAAACACAAAGACAAGCACCCTGCCAGTGCTGTGAAAAATGAAGACAAGGCGAGCCTCACACTTCTGAAAGTACTGATTTTTTTGACACGATTACCAGCTGTGCTCCGGACAATCGGGCTGGTGACCCAATGTCACCGGACAATCGAGATTGACAATCGGGATGGTGACCCAGCTCTTTCACGTGTCATCAAAAAATTACAAACTCATCCTCTAGGTGAGCTTAGTTCCTACAAATGGGCATGCGAAAAATTTGTGCGGTTTCGTCATCCCATCCTCGCAGATCTTGCTCATTAACCAGTCATCCCGTTTATGCAAAATTTGCGGCAATGCTGCAGATAGTTAATATTTCAGGCGGCCTCGTAATGCAGTAGGTCGGCCCAGCCGACGTCCTCTTCTCTCCTCCTGCAGAAAAAGACCAAACAAAGCTGGCAACACGGGTGAACATATTAAACTGTAAAACCCAGATTGGAATGCACCAGGCGAGCCTGTGCGATGATGCGCTTTTACATCAAACTTGAAGTAATTAGATTAACTGCATGAACGGTTGTTTCTCCACACCTATCTTGTGCGCTCAGTATCGTAAATCATCGTAAATTTTGCATAAAAGGAAATAATTTCCGTTTAGCCGTCGTTTTTATGCGTTTTTGCATATACAAATTGCAAAAACGCATATTGGGAAGAGGCTGTATGTGTGTGTGTGTTTGTGCGTGTGTGTCTGTGTGTGTCTGTGTTGTCACCCACTTTCAACTCGAGACCCAGAAAAGCCAGAAGGCTGGAACTTTGGGGATATGTGCCTATGCCATGCGCGACCCTCTCGCTTTAATTTCATCCCGTTGGACGCCTGGGTGCCGCATACGGACATTTTAAAAAAATATGCAAATTTTTTGGCGGGAAAGCGATCTCGGAAACCACACGAGCTAAGGGGTTGAAACTTCGTAGAGATATTCTCTGTGCATGTACTAGCTAAAGATTTCAAATTCAACCCAAAGCTATGCGTGGCACTCACGTAAGGGCGTATGAAAGTTTTAGGGGGAAAATTGCTAACTCGGGTACCAGCAAAGCTAAAAAGCTGAAATTTTGAAGGAATGTTCCCTATCGAAGTACAACTCAAATATTTCAAATCCAGTCCCAAGCTACGAGTTGTATTTAAGTAAGGACTTACGAAAGTTTCTACGGGGAAATTACTAGCTCAGTAACTACAAAAAGCTGGAAGGCTGAAACTTTATGGGGGGGGG